CCTTGTTATGGCTCCAGTATAAATTTGAGCCCTAGTCCAGACCCATGTTAAAGTGGGGTTATCTGGCCATTCACACTGGGGAGTCAAAGGCAGCCAGATATGATGTTGGCTGCATTACTTTTGTGTGCTATTGGTGATAGAAACTGGCCTGCCTTCGGTATGTTAGCCCAATGAGCCACTAGGCTCAAAGGGACCTTTGACTCCATTTAAGAGACGAATGAAATACAGTCAGTGGAGGATGCAAGGGAGAGTATTGCTTCCTCTGAGAAGCTGGCTGAGCATAGTTTTTATCATGGTGGGCAGTCATATGCCTGAAGTAACAAAGCTTTTTTTTGTTGATGCTGTCTGAGGGGGCAGCAACTATGTACCCTGTTGATTTACAAAAAGGCATGATACATATACGGTAGCCTTGATCACCGACAGCTGTAGCTGAGGGATTTTCTCAGCGGACCACAATTCAGTATTCTTCTGGAAAAACAATCTGAGTTTTAAACTGGCATTTGGTTCTAGCAGTACCTGTAGGCTGAAGTCAGTACTTGGGGTGGTGAGAGAGAAAAGGGTTTTGTGCTTTTGAATATGCTGTACATATACAATATAATCAGCAGCAGCAGCAAACACTCGCAGTCAAAGGTGATTGTCATCCACGATTGCCTTATCTGTGAGTCCAAAGATGGCTGATGAGGCCTATCTGGGATTGACGGCCTCTGTTTCAGCTCAGGCACATGTTTCCACATGGGGTGGATGGTTCTGGGTTCTTGGTTCATTCTGTGACACACTATTTTTGCCACTTCCAATTTTCCATCTCCTGTTGTCATCATAAGGTTTCAAAGTAGTGAAATCCTTGTACCAGAGGAGTCCTCCATTTGGGGTGGTTCTGGGTGATAGTCTCCCACAAGTTCATATCAATGGTGCATTTTTTTAAAGTTGGCCTTGAGGACATGCTTGAAGTGCTTTCTCTGCCCTGCTCTTGAGTGTATGCCTTGACTAGCTGAGCGCATAAAACTCTTGAGTGTACACCCTGGGAGAATAAGACTTGCTTCAGGAGTCTGGAGTTGGACATCTAAATGATATGGCCAGTGAAGTTGATGTCACAGGATCATTGCCTCAATGGTTGTGGTGTTTGCTTAAAAGAGGAAGCTAATGTTGGTGTGTCTGTCTACCCGTTGGATTCGAAGAACCTTCCACAGGAGCAACTAGAGGTGTCTCCTGTACGTTGTCCACATCTTGGCTCCAGACAATAAAGGGGGGATCATGACTGCTTGATGAACCATTGGTTCTGATGTCATGATCTTCAAACACCTGTTTCTTCAGGTGTTCCAAGGCTGCATTACACATTTGCAGTGCTGTTGGATTTCTTTATCTATGTCAGCCTTCTGTGAGAGGTGGCTTCTGAGGTATGGGAAATACTCAACAGTCTCCAGACTCTCACCTTGAAACTGAATTACTAGAGCTCAGTACTGCTCATTGGGCGCATCTGCACATACTATTAATGCACTAAAAGCTTACGGCACAGTAAGCTTTCCCTGGAAGTGCATCGACACATCTCCTGCCCTGTTCTACTCCCATGTGGCAGCCAGGAGGAGCTCTAGGCTCTCCTGGGTGCCAGCTCTGGACTGGCAGGGGCCATTGGGGTCAGTCCTGGGCTCCTGGGAGCAGGGTGAGTTGTCCCACCTCTGGAGCAGTTGCCTCCCACCTCACACCCCTGCCCTGAGCAGCTGTATGCTGTCAGGCCCCTGCTCTGAGATCGGAGCAGAGGCTGGGACATCATCCCCTGCCCCAGCAGCTTCCTGCTGCTGGGCAGGGGACGATGTCCCAGCCCTAGCTCTGATCTTGGAGCTGAACCCCATCAGCTGCCTGCTGTCGGGGCAGGGGACAATGCCCCGGCCCCTACTTCAAGATCAGAGCAGAGGCCAGGCAGCTGCTGAGGCAGGTGATGATTTCCCAGCCCCAGTTGGCCACTCAGAGTGGGGGCTGGGAAGTAGGCAGCTATCTGGGGAGAAAAGACAGGTCCTTTACTCCCTGCTGCCTGGGCTGACTGGAAGCAATTTGCTTCTGATTAGCTGTCTATACATGTGCTACTGCATGGTAAATCTACTTGTATTTACAGGTAGTAGAAAACCATGCAGTAGATTAATCTACTGCACAGTAGCTGCTGTGCATGGTTACACAGTGATACTTGACTGCATAGTAGATTAGTCTACTGTGCAGTAAAGCGTCTCATGTACACAGGCCCATTAAGAGCTTGTTGATGGAGGACCTTAGTCTTCTGAATGTTAAGTATCAGTCCCATTTTCTTGTATGCCTTGGTAAAGACAATGACAATTTCCTGAAGGTCTGCTTTTGAGTGAGCACACACTACAGCAACATCAGTGTACTGGAGCTCAATGATTGAGGTTTGAGTGGTCTTGACTTTGGCTCAAGGTCAGCTGAGACTAAAGAGTTTACCTCCACTCTGACTGGCTCTTGACTAGCAGCTCTCATACAAAAGAGGTTTAACCTTCATTTGTTCTGGATGCAGCCCATTGAATCATTGCTCGGAATGTCTACTGTGGATTTGTCTCTGGCCCGTCACTCTGCTGGCTGAACAGAGCTATATTACCGTGTCCTCCCTGCTGCCTTTGGAATGGTTTGCACCAGTGGGAGACAATGGGAGTATTTTCCTGTGCTCCAAGGAGCAAAGGCTGCTAGTATAATCAAACAGGAGCCCTGGCAGTGAGCTAGAAATAAGACAGCACATATCGAAGGAGGTTTAGTGTGCTTCAGCTCTCCCTGCTGAGAAGAGTTGAAGCACTGAAGAGGAAATGGGCAGAGGCCTCAAGAACCATTGTCTCATTCTGATTCAGAGGTCGCAATAAATGGCTTCCAGCAGGATTGTGCCCATTCATCATGCTTAATGGATAAAGGGGATATGGGTGACATTTGAACAATGGTTAAGGGTTCATCACAACGTCCAGCCCGTTGGAGCCCTGGCCACAAATGCTGGCATACTTTTCCTGGGATGACTGGTGGAAGTCCTCCCTACAACGTTTATGAACACTCCAAGTAATCCCCTTAAGTATGTTCCATGTGCCCTGGGATTTTCTGTTTTAGAAAACAAACCAAATCAAGGCACCGGTAAAAGACTACAGTAAGAACTGAAAGTCATGCTAAGCTGAGGCTTATTCAGAACTGGTAAAACACAAAACACTGATGCTGACTTCACAGTGCAAGCATGGCTCGGCCATCTGAGAAGAAATAATATGGTATCCCTTCCAGTTTATCTTCCACATTCATAATAATTTCAAGCTGGCTCCTAGGTGTCTGGTTACTCCTTAAAACCTTATGTTTTTCCTGGTTGTTAATCAGTTTCTTGAGACATTCCAACCCATATTGGATGTTCCAACCCTTGTCCTGAAAAAGTTAAATTTATTTAGATTGAAACTGTTTAAATAACAGGATTTTCCCTGTCAAATATGGCTTGGGACCCTCTTGATTTACACAATTAAAAGAATGCTTTGAAGAGGCTGGACTAAAGTTATAAGAAAGCAGTAAAGCAGCAAACAGTGTGCTTCAAGAGGGAGAAATCTCTCTGACACCATCAGTTGTTGTTTCTGAGAAGCTGAGATAAACAGATCGTCCCTTTTGGTCACCTGTTTAACCTTCAACAATCGTGCTAGAAACTTTGCCTGTCAACAAAACACCCGAGTGCCTTGGAACGATGAGATCCCACCTCTCCTCTCTCTCTCTCCCTCTCTCTCTTTCTCTTTTTCTCTCTAGGCATAGCTTTCTGAACCTGAATTTTATTAGTTAAGCTTCAGCTAGGTTTCACCAAATACTCAGTTGAACTAGGGTAATATTGTAATTGTTTTTGTTTGTTTTTCCTTGCATGGCTATTACTGCTAGTGCCACCATAAATTTCATATACTTAGTAATAAATAACTTTTATAGTCAAACTGGTGGTAACTGGGTGTATTTTTCCTTCTCTACTTCTCCCTTCCCACTTGCTCTGCAGCAATGCTTCTTTTCCCTAAGCCAAAGATCCCTGTAAAGCCCCAAAATACTGTGGGTTCACTCATCAAGAAGCTATCACTACTAGAACAGTTAGGGCAAAAGATTGGGACGTACTGAGTTTGAGACACATAAGGGGATCAGCCTATATAGGCTGATTGACCCAGTTTGGCTCAGACATGCCCTAATGAACTGAATGCTGGCCCATGAGGGTGTCAGCTGGGCACCCAGCATGATTCAGGGGTATTCTGTTTACCTGTGTGCTTGTGTCTGACTGCATTTTATTGTTATCTTAATGAACTGATTCCTGGCATATGAGGGTGTCAGCCTGCATATGCCGGCTGGATCAGGCATGTCACATTAATCTGCATGTGTGTGTATGTATTTGACTGATTTGATGGTTGGAGGAACCCAGCCCCACTGAAACTGAGTCCTGCAAGATAGCTCCACTGGGGGTGAGGACTTGCAGAAGGGAGAAATACAGCTCCGTATAGAAACACAAGTAACACAAGCAGCACATTGATAGAATTACAGAGATCCCAGAAACGTACCCCTAATAAATGAGCACACCCCAAAGTGATGAGCAAATCTGGTAACAGCTTGTGGATGGGAATTGCAGGAGGCAGTGGGAGACAATAAGGGAGGGAGGCACAGGTTTGGATACAACAATTTTATTATGTTGGTTTGAGATTAATCTGAGTTGCTCTAAAGCACAGCCTCATCAGGTGAAGGGCGCCAAGAGAGATACCTGGGAGAAGAAAAGAGGCATAGCACTGGTACTACTGGACGTGTCTGGAGTCTGGCCAGACAGTGAGGGAATAGTGTGAGTTTCAATATATGTCAGTGGACAGGAAATCCAGGAAAACCAACACAGACATGGAGAGACATCCTGGGTCAAAGTCCATATTTTTAGACTCACTGTTTTGAGTCTTAGCTGATAATGCAAACATCCATCAGCTTTGTGAACCTAAGAATATCTTCTGTCCAGGTGATTGGGCAAGTCTGGTCACATGCATATGCTTAATATAAGTCTAATGCAAGAGGTTCTGATTTAACTCTGCATTTGCTTAATATACATCTAAAGTGGCCAGAAGAGTTGAATATGGCAAAAGTAGTTTCTCGTTGCTTCAGCAGACTTCTGTGCCCTCTGGACTTTTTTTTTCCCCAATTATGTAAAAGCTCTATATGTATTAGTACAGAAGGCAGATGCATGTGTGTGAGGATTACTGTTGGTGTTTACATAATGGATTATCCAAGATTAAGTGTTTTGTACAGGCGTATGAGTGAAAATAACCAATTAATGACTTTGCAGACTTATTATTTAAAGGCAGCTAGAAGGTAGTTCATACAAAAACTCTTCCACTAACCACAACCTAAAGACCAAGATAGAGTGAAGTAGAAGAGGTCCAGCTATCCCAACAGGTATGTCCCTTTCAGTAGAGAAAAATCAGGTAAATATCTCAACAAACAGTATTTCCTTTCAGGCCTTTCAGCCTATTGCACATGAGGTGCACAATACTTAGGAAAAGTATAAGTAACAATTGTTGATATTAGCACGTGTATGGTTTAAGATGGAGAAGAGTAGTTGCTTGGGTATTTAGGGCCATCTTTTTGGTAGCTCAGGCTCAAGGTGGACAATACTGTAAAACGTAAAATGTTTAAATAACTTAGCTAGGTGTTTTGTTGGATATTAAGGGTTGAATTTCCTGGAAAAATATTGTACCTACACACTCTTCTGCCAAAGTGCATAAGAATATAGATGAGCTGGATTTTGCTATGAACTGGATGCACACAGGAACAGGCAGCCAAGTTTGTGACAATGTTTAATGGCAACCAAACAATCCACCAATTGAATATTATTCTTCAAATTTGGAAAGTGATGTGTATGAGAAACTATTAAAACGTCAAATGTGTTTTGCCTTTATAATATGCAATTTGGAAATGATTAGGTCATGAAGATTCAATCAAGGTAATGATCATGCTGTTTGTTGCTGCTAGATACCTAAAAACAACTTAACTCTAACAAATGAAGCTTCACTAAAGCACACTTTATTGTCAAAACAAAAATTCAATGAAAACAGAAAAATATTGTTAAGTCTGTTCTATGTTTGGTCAAAATTTATATTTATAAAATATAACTGGTTTATATGGCAGTATTGTGGCAAGCAAATTCTATGTTTGGCAAATCAATCATAGTTGCTCAGACAAGGTAATTGGATTTGACTGGGGCATTTAAAGTTGCCCAGGTTTTTTAAAGAAGCATTTATTCAGTACTTTTTATAATATGAAAGAAAACTAGCATAAATGTAAAGCATGTAGCTGTAGGTATAGCACTATCTGTTTATACTTGCTACATACAATTAACAAGGTTTTGTTTTTATTTACTTAATTTTTTATTTAATCAATAGCATATCTTCTGTTTTATACTATTCATATATGACTGCCTCTTAATGCAGGCAAAAAACTTAAATGCATATGCATACAGACTCAAGAGAAAAAGTAATTCTCTAAAATATACCCAATTTTAATAGAGAAAGGTATAGATAGACTAGACAAATGAAACCTTGGGGAAGGGTTATTAATCTTAATGTGTTTTACACAAAAAAAATCTTTTTATAAAATATTCCACAGATGGTACCTATCTCCAGCCATGATCCAACACATTTTTTTAATGGTGGTGCGTCATGTAGGAGAGGCTGTGGAGAAAGAGGCTACTCTTTTATGTGGTGTTTGTGCCTAGAGGTCCAAATATTGTGGGGGTGAAGTGACCAGAATAATAATTACTGTTGTGGATAGTATTTTGCTTTGGATCCATTGATTTCTCTATTGAATGCCCTAGTAAAAGAAGTTTATTTTGTGTAGAATGAAAAGCTGACATCTTCCTTGTTTTTAGCTGCTAGATTATGTATTGCTCAAATATAGAAAGTGGTTAGCTATGTTACTCTGAAGTCAGGCAGAAGGCAGGTCTGGGTGGCACCAGAACAAGGTAGTCTTTAAGGTGCTGTTCTGCCCTGTCTTCCAATGTGGTGGTGATGGAAAAATTGTTCTATCAAGTTAGATTTTTAGAAAAGTGACAAAAGAGGGGTAGATATTTAGAAATATAGGTTCAATTCTGGACCTATACAGAGGACAAAAATTCACCAGTCAGAAAGCCAGTGCATCAAAGCAGAATTCTTGAATATTACTGAATGTTACTGGATGTTACACACACACACACACACACACACACACACACACACACACAC